ACGACGCTCTTCCGATCTATTAAGTGAGGTTTATTTATAAACTAATTTCGAGAGGATTACGTGATTGATTGCTTGCAGCTGGCCCCGCATTATTCAATTTATGATTCAACCAATTAGAGGATTTCTAAGCCCCGATAAATACCCTAAGTTCCATATAACAGCCATCTTCATTTTGAAAAATCCCCCCTTCCACCCCTACTCCTCCTCCTTTCTTAGATGGGTGGCATGGTGGCCCAGTGGTTAGCACTGTTGCCTCACAACAAGACCGTCACTGGTTCTACCAAGCCAGCCAACGTTTTTGTGCAGAGTTTACACATTCTCCCCGTGCTCACGTGGGTTTCTCCCAGGTTCCCAGGTTTCCTCCCACCATCCAAAAACATGCAACTTAAGTTAATTGACTAATCCAAATAGCACCATAGACATGCTCCTAGTTAGTAGTTATCTCTTAAGAGCAATAACCATCTGTTCATTAGCTACTACAGAAGGGGAGTTCTCGAGATCTACCTGAGCTCAAACCTTCCTCTCGCTTTTCAAACGGGAGGGAGCCCGGCTCTCGAGAATCTTATGAACTCAGGGTTCTCTCCTGGGACAGCATGCCAAACAAGCTTTACAATCAATCATCAGCAAGTATGAACTCTTGAATCGCATATTTTGCAAACTACACAAAACAAGACATTAATTTTAATTACATTTACATATTATGATCCATAGGACGAAGAAATAGGCCCATACATAATAGTCTCTGCTGCTCCTTCCTTTAATAGCCAAAGGCCCGCGAATCCTGCATTGCAGCATAGGTTATTGTAGCAAAAATCTGAAAATGACAGGAATAAACACAGCACACGGTTGAGTACATTGTGGTGTTGTTTTGAAAATAAACTTAAACCCTTTATTCCTCATCTTCACGCGGTCCGCAAGTACCTGAAGGCAAAGCACGTTCGCATTTTACTGGAACTGGTACTACATATTTGGGGATGTACCATATCGATGTCGATGCATTCAAGCAAAAGATCCCAACCAAACTCATTTCAT